TTTTCCTGGTGACAGCATTCCATTTTAGACGTGGATAGAGTTGTATCAAACCAGACGTAGTTAAATTTGCTGATTAATTGTTTAGGGTTTGGAATTTGTTTTCTTCTTTTTAAGACTAGACTGCGAGCAGTCCCTCTTCGGTCAGTCACGTCTAAGCTCGGCAGGACTGGAGAGAGCGAATTCACGCGAGCGAGGAAAGCGCGAGTGCGAAGCGAGCGCCTCTCTCCAGTTCCCCTCTCGGTCAATTCGCTCTCTCCAGTCCTGCCGAGATTAGACGTGACTGACCGAAGAGGGACTGCTCGCAGTCTATTTTAAGACAGATTGCAAATCATTGTTGATTTAATTTGCCTCTGCCTATAACGTCGTCTGATTTGTGCTCTTTTGTTGAAAGACTCGATTTTATCGCTAAGTCGATTCAAGCAGAGGCCCAAGAAAACTTTTGTCATAAAAATGGCTTACTGATAAATATTAGCTACATCATTTTAATTATTATGTAATTTATATCTTATCTCTTTTTTTCCAAAAAAAATGTTTTCACTAAGTTTATGAAAGTCAAAGAATCCGAGTCTAGTATCATTTCAGGTATTGACAATTATCTTTTATTTTTAGAAATAAACAGTTCACTTTAAGGTGGTACAACTAAAATAAATTAAATAAATAAACAAATTTCTATTTCTCAATTAATCGTACAAGGTCCTGGGCATTGGAAGTCACTTGTGGTTGACGTTTTTAATGATGCCGGGACAAACTCTCGATTATGCAGAATTTTGCGATTATTCCCACAGGAAAGATTCAACTGCGTTTACTTACATAAGCTCTTTTCAACCGGAAATTCCCTCGATCTATTATTAGTCTGAAAAACTTGGACACATACCAAGAATGCATGTGTTGCGCAGTTCAGTGTGGGTATATACCTTAGAACCGTATGTGCAGCTGTAGTGTTGGATTGGGAAAAGCACTCTTGAAGTCAAGGTTTCCACTATAAAAATGACCTACGAAAAACTTGTTTTTAACTTCTTTATAATCTTTTCTTGCGGAACACCAACCAAGGGAAGTTTTAAAGGTATGTATTGAATTCTTTTTACGGGCCTGAATTTTGCAATTTCGCACATTTTTGAATCAGTGCGAGGATACATTTTTCTTTCTCCAAAGCTTGCAAATTCATTACGTTTTTATTTCCACGACGCTGTTCTGTAAAATAACAGGGAACGATATTTATTTCAACTTTATCCGGCAGTTTTAACAAACCACCAAAAACTACCGGTACATTTTGAGAATACTTACCTTGAGTCTCGTGTTAGACAGTTAATACCCATATAGTAACCTAAACTGAGCATCCCTAACAATTCATGAATAACAATGATGTTACTGTAGCGTGTCTTTTTAGTTGCCAACATTTGGAGAGTCTAGTCTTAGCTTTGATCATCAAGATTGCGTGTATAAGGAAGATATCAATGGTAATAAATCTGGGAAAACAAAATACTTCGATTAACCTCCAGGTGATTTGGTTAACTCCTGGATGCATGGATTGGTCGTTCAAGAATTAACTCTCAGTTGTTGGAAACGCATTTTTTGATAGTGGGTTTTCCTTGCTTAATAAAGTACATCACTATGTATTGTAATTGAATACGGAGTACATCCAATGTTAAGCACCTGAAGAGAAGATAACAATTAAAAGTAACACAAGATATCGTTTCCTTCCTATAGCTCTTCCCGTGCTGTGAGGTAAAAAAAAAGTTGTTTTTTTTTTAACATGAAAAGTATCGTTGCTTTTAGGGAAAGGAATTTATTCCGAAACGTTTGGGAGATCATATGTCCTTTTCATCGATTGATATGACAATTATCTGAATCGTTATCGTTTGTCTTTCAATATTTTGTGAATAGTTTTCCTTTGATTTCTATGGTACTTTACAAGTGGATGAAAAAGTGATGATAAGTGAAGAAGGATCCTAAGCCACGGGTCAATGATCTCTAAACCGCAATCCTGTGCCAGCATTGTTCATAAAGACTGTCGTGCTGTTTCTAATCTCTTGAAGTCTTGGTTCCAAGAGTCTGATGATCTTTGAAGTGCAGCTCTAAAAAAGCACCTTGTTGTGTTCAGAATTTGTGTCGAAATTACAATTGTGTACAACAACAAAAATGCATTTAACTGCATATGTCATGATAAGTCTTCCAATCATATCCATTCTGTTGTAGTTATCATCGATAGGTCATTGATTTAATTATCGATAATTAGAGCCATATACAATGTACGTACCTCAAAACACTGGCAACAGATCTTGAAAGGTAAATCCTACTTGCAGCCGTTTGAGCTTCTTTGGAAGAAAAGTACAGACGAGTACATGTATCTTGCACATGAGCGAAAGAAATGTTCTTGGACAATCACAGGCGGCCCAGACGTAGTGTCAGTATGGACAAAATGGGATGAGTCGTCGAAACTCCCATGAACTAAAATAGTCCAAAAGTCAAAATGTAACAAAACAAAACTAAGATACCTTTAACTGAAGGCCTCCTCCTTCTTCCTGGCCGGTTAATGTGGCATTTTGTTGAGTTTTACAATCGTAGGTACTGTCCACTAAAGAAGAATTAAAGCTTTAAGAGCCATTATCTGAGAAAATCGAGAATCACACGACACTCGTCAAAAAATCGAATTTTTTTTTATTTTGCCAAAACATCCCTTTTAGTGACCTTATTTAAGGAAAAATAGTTTTGGGTTCAAACGATTCATTTTAAAGGAGAAATTAGGAAAAGTTTGAAAAATCGATTTTATGCTCGTTTTTCGCACAAAACACGGCAGGATGCAATGGCAACTTCGAGAGAAGGGTGAACGCGTAAGAAACATTCCCTGACATTGAAACTTCACCGAATTATTATTTTGTTCTTACTCTTGAAAATCCTAAAAGAAAATTTGATAAACAATGCTTTACATTTTTATAATCGACAAGTGTAAAGAGGTCATATTTGTGACGTTAGACGTGCTAGAAAATGAAGGCCAACTTTGACTATTAAAAAAGGCCTCTGGTATATGCCGCTTGATCATAAAATCAATATAAAATGGAACCTTGGCTTTTGTACTAAC